TTAGCCCCAAATCCAGACAAATAAACAACTTACTTGGTTCCACAATCACTTGGGTTCCTTGTCCAAAGACGAGCTTGTCTGTTGCACAGCCACTGAAGCTATTACCAAAACCTCCATGGCTCTTCCCAACTTCTTTCTGTTGACTTCATGGCTTGAGGGTTTTCATGCTTTTGGACTTTAAACATGGCACTAGCCGCTCAACCAGATGGCTCATCATGACTTCACAAATGTGTGTGAGGACAGGTTTGCCTATAGGAGCTTATTGCTTGAGAACCAATTGGGAACAACATATTCCACAGTGAACGTTTCTGGCACAGAACACATGACATTCTCTTAGCTGAACTTTCTGCTGCTTAAAATTGTTTCCATTTTTAGACCCACAAATAAACTATTTGTCTCAAACATCCAACACTATCAGGTCTTGGATCCAGGACTGCTCCAGAGTGGAGACTTCTACACTTGTTGTGTGACTTTAAGGTCAGAGAACACACCACACAGCAAAGGAGAGGGAGAAGGGGCATGAAGTGCCAGTTAGTTCCTCCATATAAAACTTCAGAATTGCTAAGTGCCCCTCAGGCCACAGAAAGAAAGAAAGGAAGGAAGGAAGGAAGGAAGGAAGGAAGGAAGGAAGGAAGGAAGGAAGAAAGGAAAGAAAGAAAGAAAGAAAGAAAGAAAGAAAGAAAGAAAGAAAGAAAGAAAGAAAGAAAGAAAACTTGGGCAAATATATCCAAGGACCCGACTTCCCAAATTCCCCATGGAACAGCTCATTTAGCTCACCGAGTGTTGCAGAACCGACAGGAAAGCAAGACAAGGGTACGTGTTTAACAAAGCCCTTTCGTCTTCCTCAGTCGCCATGTAAGGAAATGACGAGATAACGTTTTTACCCGGTAAACAGGCAGAGGCCAGCAGTTGGGGTCATCTCGTGTCCAGTCAACTTCCTGACATTTTCCCAGGCTTCCAAACAAGGAGGACAGGCTGTCCCACCGGGTTTATCCTCCGTGGCACCTGACAGGCAGGGCACTTCCCAGGGAGATGATTCTGCACCCTTGCAGTTTTTGTACAGGTCCCCAGTGGGGTTTGTAACACTGTGCCCGTATCCCTCCAATCACGGTGTTGCAGAGCTTTACAGAAACCTTCCCTGGGCTCGGCATCATGTGAGTCTGAGAACCCCCAGCCAGATGTCTTCTGCAAGTCAAACCACAGCAAGATCAAAGGATTCGGCAGTTAGTTCAGGTCCGACTTGCCTGGGCACTACTGTCTAATGCTCACTGCCCTGCTGGCTGGAGACCCTGAGGGTCAGAGTGGACTGTTAGAAATTGTCAAGTTCACTCCTATCCATACTTTTTGTCCAGTCTTCTCTCAGATGGTTTCCCACGGAGGAGCGTGTTAGCTGTCTGAAAGTCTCCCGTGTGTTCTACATGCTGTGGGTTAGGCAGAGAATGTTTGTGGCCAATATAATTTTTCCTCTCTCCCGCTAAGCCTCAGAACCACCTTTGCCGGCCTACTTTTCACTTGAATAGTGTTATACGGTCCACAAAAAGGCTTTCAAGTAAATTAAAAATTTTATCCTCTCCATTGACCTCCCAGCTGCTTAATTTGGAGCCAGTTGCCCATATGGCGCTTTGCGTGAGTTAGAAATGACAGCCTGCTGGGCTAGCAGAGGCGGCACCATAGCTTCCAGCTTGGCAAAGAGAACTCTCTTTTGTGGGCTTTATAAAAGGTATTCCTTTTTCCAGCTGGTGCTGTCCAGTACTAGGGCCTCATACAGTCTAGTTAGGTCTTCTGGCCCAGTGCCCTCGATCAGGGCACAACCAGAGCAAGCAGAGACAGTAACTCTGCCTGAATACAATAGATACATTTTAGTTATACAGATATTTGACTTCTGCTTTGGGCTGAGTTATGCCCTTAGGGTCTTTCCTAGAGGCCTCCGATGCTAATCTTGTTTGTTTTTGATCATTGTGAGGATGGCTGTTGAGACATGGCAACAAAGAGGTTCTTTTTTTTTCAGATTTTTTTTTATTAATTTTACTGAGTTGTACATTTTTTCTGCTCCCCTCCCCTTCAGACCTCTCCTATGGTCCCCATGCTCCCAATTTACCCAGGAGATCTTGTCTTTTTCTACTTCCCGTGTACATTAGATCCATGTATGTCTCTCTTAGGGTCCTCTTCGTTTAGGTTCTCTGGGATTATGATTTATAGGCTGGCTTTCTTTGCTTTATGTCTAAAAACTACTTATGAATGAGTAGATATGATATTTGTATTTCTGGGTCTGGGTTAACTCACTTACTATGATGTTTTCTAGATCCATCCAAATGTCCACACATTTCAAGATGTCATTATTTTTTTCTGCTGTGTAGTACTCCATTGTGTAATGTACCACATTTTCCTTATCCAGTCTTCGGTAGAGAGGCATTTAGGTTGTTTCCAGGTTCTGGCTATGATAAACAATGCTGCTATGAACATAGTTGAGCAGATGGCCTTGTGGTATGATTGAGCATTCTTTGAATATATACCCAAAAGTGATATTACTGGGTCTTGAGGAAGGTTGTTTCCTAATTTTCTGAGAAATCGCCACACTGGCATCCAAAGGGGCTGGACCAGCTTGCATTCCCACCAGCAATGCAGAAGTGTTCCCTTTACCCCACAACCTCTCCAGAATAAGTTGTCATCAGTGTTTTTGATCTTGGCCATTCTTACAGGATGTAGTCTCAGAGTTGTTTTGATTTCCGTTTCTCTGATGACTAATGATGTTGAACATTTTCTTAACTGTCTTTCAGCCATTTTAGATTCCTCTGTTGAGAGTTCTCTTTTTAGGTCTATATTCCATTTTTTTAAAATGGATTATTTGTTCTTTTGATGACCAATTTTTTGGGTTCTTTGTATATATTGGAAATCAGCCCTCTGTCTGATGTGGGATTAGTGAAAATCTTTTCCCATTCTGTAGGCTGTTGTTTTGTCTTGTTGACTGTGTCCTTTGCTTTACAGAAGCTTTTCTGTTTCAGGAGGTCACATTTATTAATTGTTTCTCTCAGTGCCTGTGCTACAGGGGTTATATTTAGGAAGTGACCTTCTGTGCCAATTCATTCAAGTATACTTCCCACTTTATCTTCTATGAGGTTCAGTATGGCTAGCTTTATTTTGAGGTCTTTGATCCATTTGGACTTGAGTTTTGTGCATGGTGATAGATATAGATCTATTATCATTCTTCTACATGTTGATATCCCGTTATGCCAGCACCATTTGTTAAATATACTTTCTTTTTTCCATTTGATATTTTTTGCTTCTTTGTCAAAGATCAGGTGTTTCTAGGTGTATGGATTAATATCTGGGTCTTTGATTCAGTTCCATTGGTCCTCCTGTTTGTTTTTATGCCAATGCCAATCCCAGGCTGTTTTCAGTACTGTAGCTCTATAGTAGAATTTGAAGTCAGGGATTGTGATGCCTCCAGAAGTTCCTTTATTGTACAGGATTGTTTTGGCTATCCTGGGTTTTTTGCTTTTCCAAGTGAAGTTGAGTACCGTTCTTCAAGGTCTGTGAAGAATTTTGCTGGGTATTGTATTGATTTCCTTTTTTTTTTTTTTACTATGTTAATTCTACCTACCTAAGAGCATGGGAGATCTTTTCACTTTTTGGTGTTTTCTTCAATTTCTTTCTTCAGAGATTTAAAATTCTTGTCATACGGGTCTTCCACTTATTTGGTTAGAGTTACTCCGAGATATCTTATGTTATTTGTGGCTATTGTGAAGGGTAATGTTTCTCTGATTTCTTTCTCAACCCATTTACATCATCTGTGTAAAGGAGGACTTTTGATTTTTTTGAGTTAATCTTGTTATCCTGCTACATTACTAAAAGTGTTTATGAGTTGTAGAAGTTCCTTGATAGAATTTTTAGGGTTGCTTATGTAAACTATCATATCATCAGCAAATAGTGAGAGTTTGACTTCTTCTTTTCTGATATGTATTCCCTTGATCTCCTTTTGTTGTCTTATTGCTCTAGGTAGGATCTAAAGAACTATATTGAATAGATACGGAGAGAGTGGACAACCTTTTCTTGTTCCTGATTTCAGTGGGATTGCTGTGAGTCTCTCTCCATTTAGTTTGATGTTGGCTTGCTGTATATTGCCTTTATTATGTTTAGGTATGTTTCTTGTATCCCTGCTCTCTCCAAGACCTTTATCATGAAGGGATGTTGTATTTTGTCAAAAACTTTTTCAGCATCTAATGAGATGATCATGTGATTTTTATTTTTCAGTTTGTTTATGTGGTGGATTACATTGACAGATTTTTGTATGTTGAATCATCCCTGCATCTCTAGGAAGAACGTGACTTGATCATGGTGGATGATGTTTTTGGTGTGTTCTTGTATTTGATTTACTAGTATTTTGTTGAGTATTTTTGCATCAATGTTCATGAGTGAGGTTGGTCTGTAATTCTCTTTCTTAGTAATGTCTCTCTGTGGTTTGGGTATCAGGGTAATTGTAGCCTCATAAAAAGAATTTGGTAATGTTCCTTTTGTTTCTATTATGTGGAATAATTTGAACAGTATTGGTATTAGTTCTTCTTTGAAAATCTTGTAGAATTCTGAGCTGAAACCATCTAGTCCTGGGCTTTTTTTGGTTGGGAGACTTTTGATGACTGTTTTTATTTCTTTAGCATCATGGGCCTATTTAATTTGCTTATCTGGCCTTGATTTAATTTTGGTAAGTTATATTTAAACAGAAAGTTGTCCATTTCTTTTACGTTTTCCAATTTTGTAGAGTACAGGTTTTCAAAATATGACCTAATAATTCTCTTTATTTCCTCCATGTCTGTTGTTATGTCCCAATTTTCATTTCTGATTTTGTTAATTTGAATATTCTCTCTCTGACTTTTGGTTAGTATGGATAAAGGTTTGTCAATTTTGTTGATTTTCTTAAAGAACCAACCCTTTGTCTCATTGATTCTTTGTATTTTTTTTGTTTCTATTTTGTTGATTTTGGCTCTCAATTTGATTATTTCCTGCCGTCTAGTTCTCCTGGGTGAGTTTGCTTTTTTTTTTTGTTCTATAGTTTTCAAATGTTCTGTTAACTCATGAGTGTGGGATTTTTCCAGCTTCTTTATGTAGCATTTAATGCCTTAACACTGCTTTCATTGTGTCCCACAAATTTGAATATGTTGTGTGGTCATTTTCATTGTATTTTAGGAAGTCTTTAATTTCTCCTTTTATTTCTTCCTTGACCCATTCAGGTGAGCATTTTTTAATTTCCATGTGTTTGTGGGCTTTCTGGAATTATTGTTGCTGTTGAATTCTAATTTTAATTCATGGTGATCTGATAAGATACATGGGGTCATTCCAATTTTTTTTTTGTATTTGTTGAGTTTTGTTTTGTTACCTACTATGCGGTCAGTTTTTGAGAAGGTTCCACGAGATGCTGAGAAGAAGGTATATTCTTTTCTGTTTGGATGGAATATTCTATAGATGTCTGTTAAGTCCATTTAGTTCCCTTAATTCTTTGTTAATTTTTTTTTTGTCTGACAGACCTGTCTAGTGGTGAGAGTAGAGTGTTGAAGTCTCCCACTATTAATGTGTGGGGTTTAATGTAAGTTAAGCTTTAGAAGTGTTTCTTTTACATATGAAGGTGTCTTGTATTTGGAGCATAGATGTTCAGTATTGAGATTTCCTCTTGATGAATTTTTCCTGTGACTAATATGAAATGTCCTTCTTTGTCTCTTTTGATTGATTTTAGTTTGAAGTCTATTTTGTTAAATATTAGGATATCTACACCAGCTTGTCTCAGGTCTGTTTGATTGGAAATTTTTTTTCAACCCTTTACTCTGTGGCAATGTCTGTCTTTGAGGTTGAGGTGTGTTTCTTTTACTCAGCAGAAGGATGAATTCTGTTTTTG